GAGGTGGAGACCACAGCCTCCAAACTGAGGAGGTTTGCAATCAAGTGGGGCCACTCTTAGACACAAGTCACTCCACGGTCAGTGCCCAGAAGGCCAAAGCCAGCCTTGGAAAGATGAGCCAGCCCAGAAAGCTCTCAGCCACTCTGGTGCATGCAATGCCAGAGGTGCCCAAGACCATACGCTGGCTTGCAGCACATGGACACGTCAGCCTGGTCACTGCGGGGAGGGCTGAGCTGGAGGAAGGGCCTGGTGACTTTGAGTGTTTATATCTACACTACAGGCTCGTGTGCATTGCTCTGTGTTTGCCTGCTGGGTTGGGCACTTGCAGCAGCACTCCCACGTGGCACAGGGCAGTCCTGACCTTTCCTTGGTGTGTACCCATGGCACTCGCCTGTTTCTTGTGCCAGGCCTGGCAAGCCTCACTATTTCCTCCTGAGCACAGTGCTGCCCGAAAGAGCCCAGTGGGGCTTTGTGCAAGGAAAGGAAGGCATTTTCTCTCCTATGCCAGTGGTGCAGGGAGCATTTCCCTCATCCCCAGCTTTGTGCCCCAGAAGCCGCTGTGTTTGCTTTTGGTTTCCTTCTCTGGGTGCCACGCTGCGAGGGTGCAAGAGAGCAAGTACCTCGCAAGAAGGGATAAGCCCACAGCTTCTGCTGACTCATCCTGTGGGAAAGGCCAGTGTGGCTGGCTCCCAGCCTGCCCTCTGGGCACGTGGACTCTTTCCTGGTCTGGAGGGGAAGAGGAGGAGTTTTATGGTACACTAGTTTTCCATCTGCCTTAGGACCCTTTTTTCCCCCATCCCTCTCCTTTGCACACAGCCATGATGAGGGATGCTGTAGGGTCTATGTTGTTATGCAGTGAGACTGTGCAAGGCATAAAACCAGCTGATTGGGAAGAAGATGGATGGGAAGCTATGGAATGGTGTGTGCAGTCCCCTCAAGTTTGGGTCAGCACATCTGTCCCCAAGTGGAACCTTGCTTCTCCCCCAGGGCCATATGGGGAAAAGGAGGAAGTTATTTTCAGTCATGATTTCCTCTGCCTTTTCTGCTCCCCACTGCTGTCACCAGTGCTGGCCTAGCCCAGCTCCTCTCCTCTCTTTCACTGAGTCCCCCATATCCATCTTCCTGTCTGTCCTGGTATCTCCAGCACATGGCCTGAGCAGGAGTCAGCAGGGCTCAAACCTCTGAGCAGCCTGACTCTTTTAAGGTTCGTCTTGACTATCTTTAATTGAAATCTTAAATGCCACAGTCAGTAGCTAAGTAAAGAGGGATACAAAAGCAAAAAGACACAGTGAACTTACCTGCAAATGGATTAGTACATGAGACTTCGTTTATCCACCAAGACATGTGAAGTACTAGAAAATTTTTACTTCTCTCAGTTGTGAAAGCCTTAGGGCACAGGCAAATGAGGAACTTGAAATGTGATTCTACCTAAAAAGTTCCATTTCATTTCTCTTTTTTTTTTACAGCTTTACTGCTCTCCTGTTCCCTGTTGACATCAGTGAATGCTATCTGAGTAGGGTCTGTGATTCTGATGTGTCTGTTCCTTCATCTCTATTTCCAGGAATGTATCAAAAGTGCCACTTTACCACATTTGACCAAAGGTTAATGGTCACTGTCCCCAAGCAGAGGTGCTACAAAGGAGAGCCCCTGGGGAGAAGGTTGCCACAGGCCACCCTGGAGTCAGTGGCTGGCCAGGAGCAGGGCAGGTGGTGGCTGTGTATGGCACCCATGAGCACATGGCTGATGCCACAGGGCAGCACGTCACTGCAGTGACAAGGGGAAGTAAAACCTTCCCAGAACACAGCCCTGGGCTGCACTTCCTGGTGCCCATGGCCACACAGGGTCAGCCACAGAGCCAGCCAAGGCTGCACAAGTGGCATGTCCACCCTGCTGCCTCTGTGCTGCCAGTCCCTGGCCCATGCCTTGCCTGGTGCTGGGAGATTTGATAGAGCGTTTGAGTGCTTGAGTTTTCCTTTTCTATGCAATACTGGGTTGTGTAACAGCCTTGCTTTTGCAGCACCTTCCTCCTGTATCCAGCAGCCTCATACTGATAGATGCCTGGGGAGCTAATGATCTGCATTGTCTAGGACTGATTCTCAACCACTTCTGGAAAATGAGGTTTTTCTTCTTGTCAGGAGAATGGCTGAAACTAGACTGTCTCCATCAGCCTTTAGGAAAAGCCTGGTTTGGACCCTATCTATAGGGAAAGCCAGTCACGACTTCCTCTTTCATGCAGTTGTGTTTATTAAAGCACTTGACCTAGCTAAAATATTTTACAAATTAAGAGCGACTGCAGTAATTAGGTTGTTTTCCTTTAAAAAAACCCCTCACTTTTAAAGATCATATGAAAGAACATTTAATGCAAATAAACATTGTTCCCTAAAACAAGGAGTTGCCCTTCCATCCCATAGAGTGTAAAGTCATGACTAGAAGGATATTTTTGTGTCAGGGTATTTTCTGGAGTTAGTCAATATTAAATGCAGAATTTCCTGCCTTTCCACTGATAGTTCCATATGTGCTGGCCTCACCCCTCTGTGCAGCTGAATCAGTCTGATACTGTTACAATGAGCAAACAGCTTACATGGTGCTAAAATTCCTTGGATTTTTCCTTACATACCAAAGCCATTTCCTTGATGTGCTGTGGTGGTGCTGGGGAATGTCCAGTATCCAGCTGCTCTTGTCAAAAATTGTCTCCCTAATTCCTGATCCTGAGCAAGGCAGACGTGACTGTAGTGTCCTGCCTTTGTTGTGGCTTTGTCACGTCAGGAGCACAAAGGGGAAGATGGAAGCAGAATGCTGCCCTTAATTTCTGCCATGTAGTAGGGGACTGTGATCCCAGCTGGGACCCAGGGGCCAAGGGAGAAAGTGCCAGCATCCTATTATTGGCCTTATTCAGGGGTGCTGCTGAGTTTTGCAAGCTGGCCTGTCCACTACAAAAAGGCTCCTTGCCCCTTCAAGTGATGACCATGTCACGGAGCTGAGCCTCTGAACCTCGTGGTGCTCCCACCATCCTTTCATAGAGATGGGGGAATGATGCCAAAGCTGCCAAAGGTGAAATGGCTGAAACTGTTTTAACTGTGGTTACTGCCATTTAATTGGATGTCTCCTGTTGCTGAAGGAGTGACACCAAGCTCCACATTTTCAGAGGGCTGGTGAGAATTGCAAAGAGGCCATGCGTGAGAAGGCAGGGCAGCCTTGGTGTGACCCGTTTATTACGTGGGCCAGACAATGTCCTGACGCGCTTGGGTGAGGACCCTTGTTTACAGCTGTAATAGCTTTTGGGACTATTGCTCACTGACAGTCCCACCATCAGACAGTCACCTGCTTTAGGGGAAACTGCCAGACTGAAAGGCAGTGCATCATATCCCCAGCTCTTCCTGTCCAGCCTCCTTACGCTTCCATGGATGCACATCGTGCCCTCACACCCTCTTGTGTTAAATGGGAGGAAAGTGATAAAGCTTAGTCCCATCCAGCAATGTGTACTAAAAATACTGAGCAGTATATGAGACATTGTTTTTCAGCTGATTTATAAAAACATCCCATGAGGGGAAGAGGAAGTATCTTCTTGTCTGGCACTTTGTTTGGGAAATACCACTTGTGCATCCAGTCTCAGGTGTGAAGGCATGAGCCGGCTGAGGGGGCCAGGCTGGTTTTCACCTAGGGGACCATGGTACAAACACAACCCAGGACTGCACCTGTCCAGCCAGGTGCTTTGGTAAATGGAGAGCATTCTAAGGTGGCAACTCTGTCAGTTTGCTTTGCCAGGTGAGTTTGTTTTTGGTTTTTTGATATCAGATGCTTGTGGGTGAGTCAAGTGCAGTCAGATTGTAATGCCATGCCTCAGTGATAGGTTTTTTTTTCCCCTGCCCTTTTTTTCCCCCTCCTTTAGGGAGGAGCAGGTCACAAGCATCATGCTGTGTAGGTGACTAGACACTGCTGGAGGGCTGGAGAAGGGCCAGACTCCAGTGGGAAGCAGGTGAGAGTGTCTGAGTGTTTTCACAAGTTTGATGAGTCACACAGGTATGATTTGCTGGTGAAGCTTTGCAAAACCAGACCTCTGTGCGGCACCTACGGTAGCACTTTTCACCATGCTGATGGGCCTTCTCAGAACCATTTCACTGATGCCCTCCAAAGTAAAAATCTTCCAGGCTTCTGCTAGTGGCTAAGTGGGAAAGAACAGGGAGTTGCATTTCTTCAGGTTTTTTTCTGTTGATTAGAAACAAGAGTCTTTGGCCCAGAAGTTCTTAGTCCTCCTTACAGTGGGAATACAAGCTACAGGAATGGTGTTCCTTGCCTGGGAAAAAGCAGCACAGTGAGTGAGCAGGGAGCCTGCTGATGTGCTTGGCATAGCAGGGAAGGACCTCAGGCTCTCCTCTGCATGGGCACATCTTTGGGTTTAGGGCAGAAGAATTTGCTCTGCACTATCCCTCTGCTATTCTCTTGTGATAAGCAGCGTCATTTCCCACTCTTCCCAGACTCCAGCTTCAAACTGTGGAGAAAGTAAAAGTTTGTCTGCAAAGTGCTGTATCCCTTTCTGCCTGCATTTTAGATGAAACCCTTGGATGTCTATCCTTTACAAGGAACACTCCTTTACAAAGCTGCAGCTACTCTGGTAGGAGTAGTGGGCTCCCAATTCCACCCACATATTCTGCAGCCAGTAGTTAACAAAAAATACTATAATAGGTTTCTCATTCTGAAGTTTGAGGTCATGGTTATTTTTTCTTCCTCTTAAAGGCAGAAAGCAAAGCCTAATCTCCCAAAGAATACCTGTTGGCACTCTGCTCCTGCCTTGGTGCTTTTGCCCTGCTGACATGGAAGCATGAAAGGAATTTGCATAATACAATCATGTTTTCACCATCCAAAAAAGAAAACCCAAGTTGTTGCAACCTTTGTGACTCATTTTTCTCGTAAACACTTTGTATTTATTATCTTAGCAAGAATTGAAGACATACATGCACGAGGCATACAGCAACACATCTGGCATACATCCAGAACAGGCCTTAAGGAAAACAAACTCACTTTGATAAAGCCATAAAGAAGATCTTTTGCAGAAGTAATAAAAGAAATCTAGGGTGGACATCAGCAAGTGCTTGGTCATATACTGGCACTGACCTCTCGCATCTGTGCCTTTTTCCTGAGTTCCTGTTGAATGCTACCATTCTTAACAATGCACAGAAACACCTAAAACATTTCAAAAAAAGCAAATAGGCTTTGCGTAACTAGGCAGACAAATACTTTGCTAACACTAAACTTGGATATCCCCATGACAATGCATTTATGAGTATACTATTTTTTGTAATATTCATATGTGCCACAGCCTGAAGAACTGGGTGGGCTCTACAAATCCACACCTCATTTCCTGTTGACTTTGCAAGCACCATTCATTGAACAAAACAGTTTTATTCACATACTTTTCAGCTACTAATGTGAATGCTAATGCTGAATTCTTCTGAGAGTTCCAGACAGGCATGGTCATTGTTCAGTGTCCTGGATGAAGATTCCAAGACTCCACCAAGCGCAGGATACACAACAGCAACCCTTCTTATGAAGCTGGAGCTGCCTCTGATGAAGTTTTGCCCAGCTGCATGCAGTGCTAGCCTGGGAGCTGGTGTTCTGCTGGTCTGAAACTCTTTGCATTTACTTTTTAGTACCTGAAAAACTGACCTATGTACATGTCAGCAAAATGAACTGTTCTGCAGTAGTAAGATAAAAAACAACTATTCTTGAAACATTTTCTTCTCCCTGAAAAGGTACTGGCTAGCTTAGAGGGGAAGGGAACCATGCTTGTGGCTCAAGCCAACAGCAAAGCTCCCTGTAACGCCACCAGGATGGATGGGGTTAAGTCTTCCAGGTAGAAAGAAGGCAAAGTCAGTCAGTCAGCTTCTGCTCAGTGACAGAAGTCAGCGTCGATACATAACCACCCCTGCAGGGCTGGATGTGAGTGACCAGAGTTACATAATGACAATTTTGCAAAGGCAGATTAAGAAGAGATAACAGAAAAATAAATTATAAACACAAACAAGAATTCACCACAAGACAGGAGAAGACATAATTTGAATGACACAAATAACAAAGTGTAACTATACAGCCTTATAAAATGCAAATGTACTTATATACAAAGTTAATTAAGAGAAGGAACTCTGACCAGTGACCTTAGAGGTAGCTATGGAACAGCTTCAGCCTTTTTCTTGCTATCTTGGACCCATGAAAAATACTGTTTAGGATGGAGCCTGACATGAATTGACTAGCAAGGTTACTGTTTGCCTTGACAGCAACCAGCATGTTTAATTCGGTTCCTCTGAAGCCAGCCAAAAGTAATATCCCCTCAGTGAGATGGGTCACTCGTATGTAACCCCTCAGTGGTGATGGTGCATCATCATCCACTGGATGTGCTGCAGCAGCCCCACCATTCTAGAAGTGAAATGAAATAAACTACAAGGGAAATAAAATACAGGGGAAGAACCTTTGCCCATAAGTATAACTAAACATTCAAAAATGTAATACTACTTTCTTGTACCACTGTACAGCTCAACTCTATTAATATTATTTCTTCAAAGAGAGGTAGTTGCTTTCTTTGAATAAATAACATTCTCAGCAAAACTTGAGATGCAACTTTAGGATGTACTTCTATTGAAGTTATTTCATTACTTATAAAGACACAGCAGAACTGGACTGTTACCAAGAAATTCTTTGCAATACTGAAAGAATCCTTTCACAATTACCTCAATATCTGTGTTTGTGTAATATATATTCAGATACATATCTTATATAAAGCCAAAGTATGCTTCCCTCTCTGAAGCATGATTTGTTCCTTTATCATCAGAAAATAATCTGCTTTTTTTTTGGTTTATATAATGCCTTTTTATATTGAGTTTTGTCATGTTTTGACATTTTTTCATACTGTGTTTTGAGATTAAACGAACAGCTTTTGATTAATAGTTCTGTTAAACACTCATGACATGCACTAGCAGTGCACACATTTATATTTTGTGTATACATACTATATATATAAACTTATACTATATATTTATAATATAGACTAGAACTATGCGAAACTGTGTTAATTTGTAGAATTACAACTTTTAGTCTGCAATAGAACATCCTGTAACAAATAACCTTTCAATAAAGCTAGTGGTTGTCTTTAACAAATTTTAACTCCCACTACCAAACCCCTGTCCAGCAGGATCCATACTTTAGAAAAGAGAAGCAGTCAAAAATCCAGCAACTGGCTTTATCTGTGTGGTATGTGATCCCAAGTTCCAACACACTGATGCTTTTTTTGGCCTCATCCTGTTGGTGGGCTGAAGTCCTCGGTGAAGCACGGCGATGGGAAATGAGGATCAGAAGGTGACTGGGGAAACCGGGTTCCTGAAAGTGTTCTCAGACCACGGTGAAGGGCATGTTCAGTCTTGCCCCAAATCTCCCCACGTACCAGCTTGCCTCAAGTCACCACTGCACAGTTTAGGGGCTCTGCCCATCGTTATCTTTATTTCCCACCTGGCATTCGTACGCCAGTATTGCTGTAACATTCTTCAGACAAATCATGTGATGGACGATTTGTCATCCTCCAGCGGCGATGGGCACCTAAATACAACGCAGCGAGATTTGAGGTTTCTTCATCTCCCACTGTCTGTGGAGCCTCTTCTTCCAAACCCACAAAGCCAAGGTCCTCTTCTGTTCCTCTCGCCGTCTCCGCGGGCAGCCCATGTTTCGGGGCAGAACAACTTGGCGATCATGTTGAGGATCCTCTGCCGCAGGTGCCACCTGTCGCCGATGCGGGTCAGCTCCAGGGCGCACTCCGCCACCGCCGCCTCGCGCCCTGCGGAAACGCGCGTCGTTACCGCTTTAATGAGATACCCACAGCACGCTACTTTTTGTCCAATTTTTTACTTTGTGCTCATCATAAAGCACACCCCACCCCGCACCGCCTCTGCCCGCCACTCGCTGGGAGCAGCAGCTGTATCCCTCTCGCCTTCACAGGGGAGTCCGCAGCCGCTCCGGGCGCTGGCCGCCCGCGGGGTGCTGGAGCTGGGCAGCAGCGCCCGGGCGCAGGACGGTGTCCCCGTCCCGTCCCGTCCCGTCCCGTCCCGTCCCGTCCCGTCCCTGTCCCGTCCCTGTCCCGTCCCTGTCCCGTCCCGTCACCCTCCGGTACCTGCAGGAGCAGCGGCTGGGGCGGCTTTGCGCAGGGTCCGGCCGGGCAACATCGCGGCGGCGGGGTTCGGTGGTGTGGGGCACGGAGCGCCCAGGTTCGGTGCTGTGGGGCACGGAGCGCCCAGGTTCGGTGCTGTGGGGCACGGAGCGCCCAGGCTCGGTGCTGTGGGGCACGGAGCGCCCAGGCTCGGTTCGGTGGAGCACGGAGAGTCCAGGCTCGGTTCTGTGGAGCACGGAGAGTCCAGGCTCGGTTCGGCGGGGCACGGGACGCCTTGTCTGCTCTCGGGCCGGTGTCAGCAGCGTTCTGCTGGCACAGGGGCGGAGCGCGGCGCTAAAAGCGAGTCCAGCGGGGATTTCCCTCCGTCCTGACGTAGTGAAAAGGCGCGGGGATCCCGCCCCCCGGGCCCCGCGGGCAGGCGGTGGCGTGCCCGGGCCGGGGCAGGCACAGCGCCCACGCTGCCAGCCCGGAGAGGGCCGGAGGGATGCGGTGTGCGGGGCAGGAGGAGACGGGAGGATGGGCTGTGCACGGGGCAAGCGAGGCGGAGGGATGGGGGCTGCTAAGGAAAAAGGGGATGGAGGTGTGGGTTGGGCTTGTGCTGGGTCAGGGAAGATGAACGGTGGGGTTTGCATTATCTGGGCAAGAAGAGGCAGAGGGGGGAAGTGGACTTGCTGTAGGCAAAAAGAGATGGGAGGGTGGGCTTTCTTTTTGGTGATAGTGGTCCAGGAAAGGTGGACAGGGTTGCAGTGATGATGCTGAGGAAAAAGAGGTGGGTGGCTGGAGAGTGCTTGGACAAGCAGAAGAAACAGATAGGGCATGTTATTATCACAGAAACATAGAATAGTTTGATTTGTAAGTGACTTCTTAAAGGTTATCTAGAGCAGCTCGCCTGTATTTTGCTGCTTGTAGCCACAAAGACAGAAAGATCTTCAAGTAGATCAGGTTGCTCTAAGCCCCATCCAGCCTGACCTTGGATGTTTCCCCAGATGGAACATCCACCACCTGTCTGGGCAACCTGTGCTGACGCTTAACCATACAAATAAAAAACTTCTTCCTTATAGCTAATCTAATCAATGCACCTCTAGTTTAAATCATTACTCTTTGTCCTATTGCAAAAGGCCCTTCTAAAATGTCTGTCCCAGTTTCATAGGCCCCCTTCAAGTACTGGAAGGCTGCAATAAAGAATCCCCAGAGCCTCCTTTTCACCAGGCTGAGCAACACCAATTTTCTAATTCTCTAATTCTTCTTTCTATTCAAAGTGATGGTGACCTTGCTCTCAAACCAGCCATGGGGAAACAAGCTAGCCCATCCTCATGTACCACTTGCAACCTCTCACTGCTGGATCTTCCCTGTGGCAGTGCAGTGTCTGCATGGCATGGCTCTGGCTGATACATGCCAGGGCACACTTACCTGCGCCTGCTGTAACTTTAGATGCTGCTTTTTGCAAGAAGCAAGAGTTGGAACAAAGTCACCCTCATGTTTTTTGTGATTGTTGTACAATACTGGGAGAGCTGCCAGCGATAGGTGGATCACTCATCTGCCTCCTGTCTCCAAGTTGATATTTTATGTTGTGACACATGGTTTGGACTTTTGCTTTTAGGGGAAAATGAAAACTGCTTGATGTAAAGAAAGCACAGATGGGTCAGACATAACAAAGAACTGATTTGTGGCTGAAAGTTAGTAAATTACTACCTCTCCCATCAAAACACAACTTAAAATGTCATAGTGTAATACAGACCACAACAGGATGTTGAGAGGCTCCATTCTATGGGGTACATGCCTCTGAAGTCAAGTGTCTAGAAATGCTGGTGACTTTGAAGTTCCATTAAAAGGGGAATCACTCACCAGCTCAGTGCAGATAGCCTTTTCCCTGTTATTTCCCAGAATGATGGCACACTTGAAGCATGGCTGATTTCTCTCCCTGTGTAGGAAACCTCAGTCCCCTTGGTGCTTGAAAGGAGGCAGCTGGCACAGTGGTGTTGCAGGGCTGGCATGTGGGAGGGGCAGTGGTGCCAGCTCACGGACAGGGCATTTCTCAGGGTGAGATATCTAAGTGAAAGCTATAGCTGGATGAGGCTTTTGCAAGGCCCTTCCCAAAACAGTAAACTGGCTCTGTCAGTACACAACATACACCCTGCCAGATTGTGGCCTGGTGTCAGAGCAGCTTAGGTTGGCCACAGAGAAGTTTCTGGTGTTTTTGAGGCTGTATTGCCTTTGTCTCTCAGCTGGTATATAACCTACATGGCATGTGGGTTTATTTCCTTGACCTGATGTGTTTGGGTCTCCTCAGCTGTATGAATGTGCCTGTTAGTGGCAGCCCTGTTCAGGCAGAGCTGGCCTTTGACAGTCATTCCTGTTACATAAGAAACTGTTTCTTCAAAACAAGTTTGTTGGGTTTTAGGAGGTGGCAAGGCAGGTAAACAGGTCAGGAGGATGTCTGCATGATGCGTCACCCCTCATGGAGGAGGTGTGGTGGTCTGCAGCATGTGATGCCTGGGGTTGCATCTCACAGTCACAGTCTGACAGCTGCTCCAAAAATCATGGAAGCTACTCCAGAATGTCAGCACAGGGGGCTGGGGCCTTACTGAGACCCCCACATGCCCCTCCTGCCCCACTCAGTGCTCAGCAGTGCCCAGTGCAGGCAAAGTGCCCACAAGCTCAAGCCATGAGGTCATGCTGGTCTCTTGCTCTGCTGGCAGGTGTGGGTGACTTTAACATTTATTTTGCACGTTTAGACAGAGCCAGGTATGACCTGTGGCTTGTTCTTCTTTGTGAATCTGGAGACAGATCAAATACTTGGGCAAATTATTTAAATTACTCTTCCTCTAGTGAGGCCAAAACCAAATTAACCTCAATCCTGTCCTGCTCAGCAACACTTCCTCACCCTGAAAGCAGATAAGCTTTAAGGGCAGCTTGTCTCTATGCCCCTGCAGCCACACAAGGAGATGGGCCCTTCTTTTGGGCATATGTGGGAGAGATTCTTTCCTATCAGGGCAGCTGGGCAAAAATCATTGGGATAGAGTTGAAAGCATTCATTTATTTTCTGTGTTTTATTTTAAAATAGTGATAAAGGTAATAAAAACAAAACAAAAAGGTAATAACAAATAAAGGATACAAGGTAGTACAGAAGGATAAAAGGTGATAAAAGGTATAAAAAGGGGACACTTTAGTGTGCAAAATGGGTTAATAGACCAGCCTTTGGTGAGCCCAAGTATATGAAGTACTTGGCTCCGCTTTGCTGCAGTCAGGGCCATGTATCTGAGTGCAGTGGTGTAATTCAGGGAGACTCACTGCTGTTTAGAGGGAAATTGCCTCAAGTTCCAGATCTGTCCCACATCCTCACAGGGTTTTACTGGTGTGCGAGGGAGTTACTGATGTGTAAATCACAGCCCATTTTGGCGGGAACAGCACATGGTGGGGCCACTGCTAATTATAGAATTGCTCAGCAGGGCTTAGCGAAAATAAGTCGATTGTGGTTTCAAAAGCCACCAGCGAGCTCTGACATTTTCTTGTTTCGATTCCCCTAAATAAAGAAGTGTATCTGCGGGAAGCACAGACCCCTGGGAATCTGCTCTACCAAAGCAGCCACAAGAGTTGTTTCTTGCTGTGGCCACACTGAGCAGGACCACGGGTCCCCAGGTGGGCACAGCCATGGCAGGGAGCAAAGCAGCAGCCCAAGGAGCACTGCCCATCTGGAGCAGCTGTTCAGTTTATTTCTGCGTAGTACCATTTAAAGTTATTGCAATTACACAGCTGAGAAGAGAAAATCATCTTTAGATAATGTGCCCCAAGCTTCACCAGTGTCTGGGTGATGTGGTTTTATCAGGAATGTGTCATTAAAACATAGCATGTGACATATTTTCACCACACATAACAACAGTGGGCAGGCTTGCTGAAAGGAAATCAAATGTTGCAGAAACAAAATCAAGAGTGGGAGAGAAAGGAAAGTAGATGTTATTTCTCTGAACTTTGTATTTGTGCTGAATCATTTTCAAGCTGTTTCTGCACCTCCTTCTAAGATCTTAAATAAATCTCTGGTACTGTTTCATCTTTGGATTTTATCTTCTCATCTTCCCAAGACTGATGTTGACAGCTTTTGTGTTAGCTGAGAAGCTGTTTGTTTTTCTCTCTCCCTTTTCCCGTTTCTGCAGACTGCAGAGTCAACAGTTCCTGTTGATCTCTGTGTGTGTCTGCACCAGACCAGGAAACTGGTTCTATTGTCAGGAGTACAAACCAAGGTCATTTCAGGAAAGTGCAGTGGCAAGCTGCCATGGACCATGCCAAGAGAGGGTGATGAGAGCCATGGATAAGTTTCTGTTTGTTTGTTTTTGTGGGTTTTTGTGTGGTTTGTTTTGTTGTTTTTTTTTTTTTTTGGGGGGGGGTGGTTTTGTTGGTTTTTTTTAATTTGGCTGGATTTTTTTTTAATTATTCTTAAATCACTCTAATTCTTCGGATTGTTCTTCTCAGGCACCATCTCTCCAGGGATCTCTCTTACTGTTACAAGTAAATCTTCCTAAATCCTCCAGCCTTAAGCACTAATCTCAACTTTGCTTTTCAGGGAAATGGCCTTGTTCTGTGTTAATAATATTCTGGTGGCAACTGCAGTAAAGCTTTGGCCTCCAGCAGCTGCTGCTGTGCTGCTGACACCTCCACTGTGGTGAGGGAAAAGGTTAATGCAGCTTTTGGTAGTTAAGTGAAATACTCCAGCTAATTGGACTTTGATTTGACAATGTGATCCCACACCACCCAGGAAAGGAAACTAAGGAGAACTGCACGTCCACTGCTGGAATATAACCCCACTCACACAGATCTCATGTGCTGCTTAAATGTTACCTAATGCCTCACAATTAATTCTTAGGCTCTCCCTCCTGTGCTTTTCTCTCTTGCCTGCTTCCCTTGAAAGCTTAAATGCATAATTTTCTTTGTAAAAGATGAACTGCATGGTTGCTCATACATTACACTGCTCTGTCACTGGCAGAGGGATGAACACACACCTTTTCCTCTGTGACCACCTCTGTGCAAAGCAGGCAGCACTAATTCATTACTTGAAAAATGCTACTGAAAGATGACTCATGCGTGTCTGATCTGGTGCCCATCCAAGCCAGAATGGGCCAGCCAGTTTTCCTACTGAGAGCAGGAAGCATTTGGTTGAGGATGGGGTTGAATAGCGGAGACACTTCTTGATACAGCTGGAGTGTAAGAGAGTTTATATTGACTGCATGCTCTTTAATCAAGGAGTATTTAGAAGTAACCTATGTTGACATAATTTTCCTGGTCTTA